TGGAAGAACGGGCGGGTTCGAGGAGATCAAAACCGCATCAAAGCTCCGTCAATGATCGTGCCTCGGAGTACTCCACCTGGCTCTTTGCACTTGGATCTAAAACAGAAAATACTCAATCATCCTACCCAGTCAGCCCAGATCGCCGACACATAGTGTGTCAAGTCCCACACTGTCCACTGCCCTCCACCATGGTATCTGGTTTTGAGGGTGCAACATGACCCCTTCTCGGCGCAAGCTTTGCTCGGTTCACAAGTTATACCCAAGGAGAGAACCATACAACTCAGTTAAAAGTTGCATACCACAGTTGACGAGTCGGCTCGATTTTGAGCACAGCAACACGCCATGCAACCAAACCAACATACCACCTTCTGGGTTGACCTCATGATCTGCCGCTAGGTCCACGTCCTCACCCGCCTTGTGGCCCGATTCGACCAGCATCGGCTCATCGAGGCAGTCCAACGGCATATCCTTCAACAGACGCTGTCGACAAAGGAAGTCCACGATACCGGTTTCATCGTGGTGCTCGAAGAACCACTCCTCAATCAAACTCTCATGCTCCACTACTAGCTGTTCGCACTGAAATCGTGGTGAGGGCGACCGAGAGGAACAAACCTTCTCTTTCAGTATGGATATTTCTACGGAAGGCGAATCCCACAAAGCTAGCGGTATGTCCACCTTAACGTCAACACCACGGTCCCTAGAATGCGTAAACTCAAGCCGTGTGCTTACACCAATTGACGCAAGGTTTCGAACGTTTGTGGCCGCGACTTCTGAAACCTAGTGCTGTCTTTCCTTTCGTTATGAAGTCTGTACTGCAGCATGCTGGTGCACAAATCTGGATCCTCCATTATTTCTGTCAGCCGCAACTCTCTACACACACCCAAATGACTATACGGCAGCATACGATGTGGAATAGGGCACCTTCTTATCGGAGGCCCCATGAAAGTCGAGCATTGCCGAGCTATCGGTTGCATTATAGCGCACCATAAATTCGTGGCAGAACAACTTGCACACTTCGCACGGTGTCGGTGCCTTGACGTCAAGATGGTCACCAAGCAGGATATTTGGCAGGAGGAAGAAAAGCAGCAGAGAAGGCAGCATTAGGCAGAACCGAGCACCTCTGCGCACAGAGTGTGCACTTCCAGGTCATTCGCGTCAACGCCCAGTGGGGGCTGAAAGCCTACGCGGGTTGCAAAGAAATGTTGTGTGCTTGCTCGAAGTCAAGACTCGTGGTCACATGCAAAAGAGAAATGTTTTACTTATAGAATGGCGCGTGCGCACGGGTGATGGCCGAAATTGTTGTTAGTTGCCGTGGTTGGGAGGCATGTTTGATGTTAGGGCTTGAAGGTTAATGTATGACGAGAAGTGGTGTTTTGGGATAACCAGGTGATGTACGCGTGGGTAAGAGGTAGGATACGTGCTTCACGTTAGATGAGAGTGGTTCATATTCAGAATTGTATCGTACT